TGCGTCTCTGCCTCTTATCATCTCCATCCTTTGGTTCCCCTTAGGATGCTCCCAGAAAAGGAAGCCGAAGGCACCAAAGAGCCATGGAAGGATGCTTTGTGTCTCCAAGTCACTTTGCCTGCCTCCACTCTTATCTGTCCTGTTATGGATTAGTTTTCTCCCAAGAGTGAACCCACAAGTGGGGCATCTGGTACTGGGCTGCAGGCACGGCTCTTTCTCTCTGTCTCCCCAGAGGATCCCTCAATCCTGCTCAAGGACCTCTCAGAGGGTAACGCCTATCCCTCCCCCTGCCCCCAATTCCCTGGGCTCTGACAATGACATTGCCCATGTCCTCTGTTCTAATGACTCAGCAGCATCTTTTCCATGAAATTCCTTCATAGTCAGAGGAGGAGGATGAACACGTCTGTGCTGGCCTTGAGAAGACTGTAGAGGGGATGAAGGCCAGAGCCTTCTCAGAACAGAGAAGTGGCCTCCTCTGTCACTCTTTCCCTGTGTGCCCTATGAGGGGGATGAGGGAACGGACAGGTAGGTGGACATGGGTGACTAGGTTAGAGCCCATGGGGATGTGGCCCTTTGAAGCTAAACAGACCTGAGTTTCAGCTCAGCTTCTACACGTTGCAGCTGTGTGACATTGGCCTGGTTTCTTACTCCTATGAGCCTCAGTTTTCTCATCTTTACAATGGGACTAAAACAGTTCATAGTACCTAGAGTTATGAGGAGGATTATGTGAAGCACCATATGTAAAATTCCTAGCATAGGAGCCAGCAATCCACGTATTCTTCCTAAGTAACAGCACCTTCCCCTGCCATGCTCAGCTGGAGGCAGATGGGGGAGACATACACTTTCCAGGACAGTAAGGCTATGAACAGCTCTACACCCTCCTCTCATACACACACTCACATGTGCACACATATGTGGACTGGAGATTCTCCTGTAGCCTTGAAGAAGCAAACAGCCATGTCACAGGGAACTGTGGGCGACTCTGGGAACTGTGGGTGACATCTAGGAATGGAAGGTGGCCCCCAGCCAACAACCCATAAGAAGCTGGGGCCCTCAGTCATTCAGCTGCAAGGAAACCAATTCTGCCAAGAAGCCAGATGAACTGGGAGGCAGACGCCTCCCCAGTCAAGCCCCCAGGCAAGAACGCAGCCTAGCTGGCCCAGGATTGCAGCTTATTGAGACCCTGGGTTGCACCCTGAACTCTGATGTACAGAGATTGAGAGGAGATAAAGGGGTGTTGTTTTAAGCTGCTAAAATTTGTGGTCATTTCTTATGCAGCCACAGGAAACTAATAAATACAACACCCAGCTAGTCACCCGCAAATCCACCCATCCATGCTATAAGCTTGAGGTGCTTCAGTAGCTTATAAACTCAGAAAGCTACTTGCAAGTTCAAGGCCTTTAATGAGTGACTTACAGGGAAGTTCATAAAAATGGAACAAAGATGAGGTGCCTCCTCAGCTAAGCACATACACGTGCCCGCTGGTGCACACCAGACGGCAGAGCAACAGCGCGGGGCATCCGCTCTGTTGCTGTCTTGCATCAGGGCCTACTTACCGCCCCAGCACCCTTTCAACTTCTGGTTGACAAACGATCCCGTAAACTCTGCATCTAACCCAACCAGCCGGCTTCTGCACTCACCCCACCCCCACCCCTGTTGCTGTCTTTGTGCAGATAGGATGGGAGGTGAGGTCAGGAAGTTATAAACCCAGTCCAGCAAAACTTATTCTAGCACCTGCCACATCAGACCTCATGCCGGGTCTAGTTAGAGTTACCATCATAACTACCACCAGTTGGGAGAATCATCACAATAAATATATACCCTGTGCCAGGAACTGAGCACTAAAAAGACGTTCCCCATTTTGCAGATTAAAAATCTACTGGGAAAAATTATTTAATTTTCCCAAATAGAGTAGCAGAACTGATCCCAAAGCACTCTTATTTTATCCCCCTACTAGCATCTGACATGAAGCTAGGCGCAATGTGAATATTTGGGATCCAGTCATTGGGCGCCACAAGAGAGGAGCAGATGGAATGAAGAGCCAAGGGAGGTGGAATTTTAGTGGGATCAGGCTGTTCCCATCCCCAGTCCCAGACTTGCAGGGGAGGTGGGAGAATACATAACTCAGCAGTAACAGGGCATGTGTCAGCATCACCATGGGACCACCACAGAAGCCCCTGTGATATTAAGAATTGTGGGAAGAGTCCCACAATTGCTTCTGGGATATAGACAAAGATGATACGCAAATGCATATCAAACAGTCCCAGCTACGTAGAGAGAAGAGCTGTGGCAGAGTGTTGGACTGGGGTTGGGAATGACTCTGTTATCACGCCTAGTCCAGGTGGCCTTCTCATACCCTCTTATCTGTCACCACTGCTACAGAGGAGGGCCTCATCCTAAATACTTCTGGCCTTTGTGACACTGTAGGTGGCCCAAGCTGCATGTCCCAAGCCCTTCTCCACTTCTTCCTCTGTGCTTTTATGCACGTCCTTTCTCAACATCTCTTCCCAGAGTCATCAGGTGCTCCTTCCCACGTGTCTCCCACTCAGGGGTCGTGTGGTGTGTCCCTGGAGGGCTTTGCAAAGTGGGTGCCGCATGGCCACAGAAATGGCACACATGTTCTGCGGCCATTGGATGTTCTGTGGACGGGAGATTCTCCTGTAGCCTTGAAGAAGCAAACTTCTTCAAGAATATCTGTGCTATTTCTGTGGCTCTCTCTTTTCTTTCCTTGAGACAACTCTCCTCCCTGTGGCGGCCACATCGACTCCTCAGCTTGAGTCCTCTCCCCCAGTGGTAGCTGCAGAGCAAAGCCGGGCCTCCCAGAGGAGCTGGGCTTGAGTTCTGCTGGGGTTCCCTTGCTGGGGTCCTGAGGTATTCGTTCATCTTTGAGCCTCAGTAGCTTGATCTGCAAAGTGGGCCCATGAAGGCACCTGCCACCTATTGTGAGTTTGAAGTGAGGCAACGGGTATGAAAGAGCCAGGACCAGCTCCACGGGCATCAGACTTGTGTAGGGTACAGGGCCCCCTATTCAGAAGGGCTACACACTTGGTCTAATATTCTGGCTCTTGTCTCTTGAAATTCTCCATAATTCTTGAACAAGGAGCTCGCATTTTCATCTTGCATTGGACTCTGCACATTACGTAGCAGGTCCTGGAGAGGGCTTTGAAAATCCAAATGCACTGTAAAAACGCGCTATGGTTATTCTTGTTGACAATAACAGCAATGCACACATCCACGTTCTGTAAGAGGTGTGCACGGGTTCTGTAAGGTGTGCGCACAGGGGCTTTTCTGCAAGCCAAGGATGCTGGGACAGCGCAGGATGTGTCTCTTAATGCCCTGCACCCTCACTAGTTCCAGAGCTCCCAACGTCCACCTTGAGGGAGCTGACCGATTTAATTTTGGTGCTTGGCCTGACCAGCTGTGTGAACTTAAGCAAGTCCCTTTTCTCTCTGGGTGTCATTTAACTGACCTACAGGAAAGCATGGCTGCGAATTGTCCCCAGGCTAATTCTCTCCCTGCCACTCAGCACCTGTTGAAAGGCTCCTCTGAGCCTTGCCAAGCAGCTCTGCCCCTAGCGGGCGTCGGAGGCATGAAACTTGCTTTCCAAAAGACCGGGTTAGAACCACGCCACCTGCTCCCACAGCATCTGCCGGTCCTCAGCCTGCAGGAGCATCCTCACAGTCAGCCACGGGTGAGGATGGGGCCCAACTGATGCACCTGTCAGGACAGGGGTGACATTGTGGCTTGGGGATTCCTGAAGAGCAGGGCTGGGGCGTGGAGGGGAAATCCTTAGGCTTGGATCCAACCCTTATTTAAAGAAGGGGATTTTGTGTAGTAGTGAGGTTGCATACCTGTGTGTCTGTACCAGCACCTGTCCCTCTTGGGGCGTGTGCGCGCGCGCGCGCGCGCACGCGCGCCGTGCCCAGTATAACTCCCTGCGTAAGAGTGCCTGTTAGTGGGTTCCTGTGTGGCACTGCTTCTGTGGACGACTATATCAAGGCATGGTTCTGTCACTGTGTTGGCGCGGAGCAGCGTAGTAGCCGGTGGCAGAGCCCTGAGTGTGTACGCAGTGAGATAGTGTCAGCATATTTGTCTGTGGGGTAGTGATTCTGTGTGTGACTACTTCAGATGGTGTGTGTGTGTGTAAGAATATGTGTTTCAGGGTCTAGCTCCCCACGGAACAGTGACCCAAGTATGCCTGACTGTGTTGGTATCACAGTGCTGCAAACTGTCTGGCGGTGCGTATATGTGTGCCTGTCACAGTGTCCCAGCTTGTTTCTGAGGGAGTGGGACAGAGCCGAGTGTGTGTGTGACTGCGCGTGCCGCAGAGAGTCTGTGAAGCAGTGTTTCAGCGTGTTTGTATCAGACAGTGTGCGCCCGACCCTGTGTGTTTGTATCTGAGTGAGTGGGGCGACCTGCTCCCTTGGGTGGTAGTGCCCAGTGTGTTTGTGTCTACGTGTGTCTGGGTGTGAACGCCAATGCATTTTCCTGGTGTGTGTATTACAGCGAGTGAGGCTGTGTGTGCGTGTGTGTGTGTGTGTGTGTGCGTGCGTGCGCACGAGGATGGTGTGTATGGGACTGGGTGTCCGGGTCCTTGCCTGGCACGCGGCCGCGCGGCGGGCTCCTCCCGCGGGCCACGGGAGACTGCGGGCCCCTGCCCGGCACGCCGCGACCCCTCCCACGGGCCGGCAGGAGGGCGGCGGCGCAGGCGCCTCTAGGACCCGGCGGCGGCCGGCCGCTGTCCCCAGGCCGCGCGAGTGAGCATGTGCAGAGCTGGGTGCCCGCTAGCCCGCCGCCCGCCCGCTCGCCGCCCGCTCGCCGCCCGCTGACTCTGCCGCCGCGGCTGAGCCCAGACGTCCGCAGCCCCAGGGAGCCCCGCAGCGGCGCCCAGTGCGCGGGCCGCGCCAGGCCGCTCGCCGCGCACGGCTCAGGGGCGTGCGGGCGCCGGGGCGCTCGGCTCCGGGCACTGCGGGGCTGCGGGCTCGCCGCCCCGGGGAGGCAGGCGCGTGGCCGCCAGAGCGGGCGCCCCAGCCGACCGCGGTCGCGGGTGAGTCCTGTCTCCCGGGCGCCCCAACCGGGACACCCGCGCGGGCTGCAGGCAGGGTCTCCGCCCGGCCGACCGCGGGCGAACAAGTTTGTGGAGACGCAGCCGGGAGCGCGGTGGGACTGCACCTGCTCCGGCTTCCGGGCGGGCTGGCGGGGGGCGCCTTTCGGGGGCAGAGAGTGAGTGTGTACGCGAGGCGGGGAGCGCTCCCAAACGATCGGGCTGGGGCCGGTGCGCCAGGCAGTGGCCGAAGCTGATTCCCCTTCCTGGGGAATTGTGAGAGACCGTCCGGTTCCCCGGAGGGAGCTGCAGACCTGGTGCCGGGGAGGGGGCGAGGACGCGGTCTGGGGTGCGCACCACCTCTCCTAAGAGGAGACGTTTACCCAGCGGCAGCTCCCTCTCGTTCCGCTACCGAGCCAGGCTTCCGGTCAGCGAGGGTTTTCTCCAGCTCTTGGGGAACTTGAGCAGAGGCAGAGGCTAAAGCGAAACGTACGTATTTTGTCCCGAAATCAACCCCAAGTAGAGCTTTGCATCTTCCCAAGTGCGAACGGAAACTCAAGACTGAGGCTGCTGATTGCGTTTTCTTTTTAACCGAGACGCCTTCGGGAGTACCCTGCCTCTGGGACCCCAGGGGTGTCTTTTTCTGGGCGTCTGTGCCCTCGGATGATGCCTGCTCATTGCAGGCTCGTCCCTGAGGAGGCAGGCTGGGGCAGAGACGGGCCTCTGTCCCTTTGCTGAGCCCGAGCCCTGGGAAGGCAGGATGTAAGCATTCCAGCCCCCACAGCCCTGCCCTGGGATCCAGCTGCTGCCCGCACTCGCCGGGTCCCCAGCTGCTCCCGAGACAGACGGACTCGGAACTCCACTGCACTTTTTAAACATCAGATGTCCTCGTCCGTCCTGTCGCTGGAACAGCATGCTGTTCGGTTGGGTCGTCCTAGGTTGGGACACCGCGCCATGGTTGAGATCAGGAGATGGGGGCCTTTTATTTCCTCGTTTTAATTGCCCAGGTTATTAGGCGCAGGAAGTGCGGGAGGTGGAGAGGGGAGCAGAGGAAGGGGGAAGCTGGCTGGGCCTGCCCTGTCTGCGGCAGCCCCCACCTGATGCTTGCAGGTGAGGAAAAGAGGGCAAGGGGGACCTGGCTCTCAGTTATGTCTCTCACTCCCTCATATACCCTTGGCTGGGCCCTCGGAGTCTCGTGGAGAAGGTGCCCTGGGGGACGACCCGAGCCTAGGGGCTCCTTCTAGAAGGAGGAGCGGCTCTGCTGGTTAGTGGGGGCATGTGTTGGTCTCCCAAGCACACTTGCTGTAAGGAGCTCCATGAGCTGGGCAGGCGGGGCTGTTGGACTGAGCCTGGGCGAGTAGGGCAGGCGGGCTGTCGGGCTGAGCCTGGCCGCTTTGCCTTCCCCCGGAGGAGCCCCCTGGCCCTCACCCGCTGCTGCACCCTCCTGTCCTCAGCAGGACCATTTCCACAGCGCCTCTGGAAGGAAGAATGCCTTGTTTGGGGGAGGGGGGTGTTAGTGGGCGTTGGAGCCCTGTAGGGTGTTGCAGTCCTGTGGCCTGCAACATATCTGGCTGGAAGGAAAGGGAAGCATGGATGAGGCAGAAGGCCAGACCCCATCCCTTCCCTCCCCTCCTGCCTGCCTAACCAGGCAGAAGTGGATATTCCAGGCCACCCATTGGTCAGCTTCTAAAGCCTGAGCCTCCAGCCAAGTCAGTTAAAGCCCAGCACTGGGGCAGTAAGACTCAGAGCTGGTTCCCTGGAGCATCGCCCGAACGGGCAATACAGAGCCTCCGGGCCAGATCGAATCGTGTCTGAGCAGGACCCTGGGGAATGGGTGCTTCTCTTCGTAGACACTGCTGGTTTGTGCTCCTATGGGGCTCGGATCCCGGTGCCCTGACTCTCCCTCTGGTACTACACTGAGGTCTAGGCCAAGGACTTGGGGGAAGCTCAGTGTTTAGGCCCTCGGGGTCTTTAGATGTAAGAGGTACTTGATAAGCAGACCCGCCAGCAGGGGCAGAACGGGGCTAGAGGCAGGTGCTGCTCGTCTGGGGAGTGAGTGCATGCACAGGGCCTTGGACTACCTTCTCCTTGGGGCTCACTGTCTTGTCTTCACACTGTTTCTTCTCATCTCTCCACATGGCTTTAATAATCCATGTTGACTTGTTGCCTGCAAAATTATCAGAAGTGTGGCACTTCTGGAGAATGTGGTTGAGGAGGAACTCTGCCTCCTAGTGTGGATGTGAGAAGTAGAGGAAAGAATTGGCTAGATTAATTTTGTAATCTGTGAAAGGCAGTACGCCTGTGGGTGGCTGTTAAGGTCTCTCTGTTCCACTCTCTTGCTGCTGGAAACCAGAGGGTGGCTGTCTTGGCATGAGGCGGGCAAGAGGGAGATTTCTGATAATAGGAATGCCAAAGGTGCCTTGGGTCCCCTCCCCTTGCATGACTGTAGGCACAGCGGGCAGAGAGCCAGAGAGGGGCAAGGCTGACTTTGGTTGGGTGCTCCACTGACGCGCCCCAGTGTGTCCAGATCGCTCAGTGGGATCTAGGCAACCCGCAGGAGTGCACCACTGAGTAGGAGGAACGTGTGAGCAAAACAGGGATCTACGAAAGAGGTGACCTGGACGTAGCCCAGATGAGGACGCAATTGGCTGTTTCAGGAGTGGATTGAGCACCAGGTCAACCAACCAAAAAGGGAAAACGCCGGTCCCCAGAGTGGTATTCTGTCTTTCTTTGCCGCTCTGGCCCCTAGCGTGGTACCTGAAAGAACCTTCATCTCTGGTGTTGAACAAAGAAAGGCTGTGTGATCCGGTAGAGGATACCACAAATTTAGAATCTGTAAGTTTGAGTTCAGTCTAGCAATAGCTATTTGTCTTGGGTCAAGTTAACTGGCCCTCCTTCTGCCTCAAAGTCTGCATCTATAAAATGGGGGTGATAATGATGGTGACCTCACAGGTTTATGTGACAATCACGTGTTGAGCACACTTGATGGTGTGTGAAAGTACCTTGCAATCTCTAATGTGGCATAGAAAAATGTATTCTTATTTATATGAACTTCAGCAGTAGATTTGACGGAGGATCCTCCCTCCTTTGCATGGAATGGAGTTTTGACCTTACTGTTATGTTTTATATCTTTTTTGGAACATTTCTTACTTTGGACCTTTTCAGTAAAGTTCTGAAGTTCAGAAGATCAAAGATTTGCCTCTTTTGTGTTTGCTTTGGCAGCATATATACCAAAGTTTGCCTCTTCAAAGTCAGGGACCCCGACCCCATTCCCATTTCCCAGACTATATCCCACCCAAGGCCAGCAGATGTATATTTAGTGGGTCCTGTACTCTTTCTGAGTCTCCAAGGCCCGGAGGCAGGGGACCCAGGATGAGGGCAGCATGGCCCTGAGCAGTGGCAGGTGGCTGGCGGGCACCGATTCCCTGGGTGCCTATCCTGTGCTCCACCCGCAGTGAGCAGAGGCACTGGCTGTGTCCGTGGGGACGCACAGGCTGGGAGGAGAAGTAGGCAGAGCAGCAGTGAGTCCTGATTCCACGGAGGACCGGGCGCAGTTCACAGAGCCTCCAGCCTTGCTGTCTAGCACTGGGGAGCGGCTCTGTTCCAGGGATCAGGACGGCATTTGAAAGAGGTGGCATTGGAGCTGATGCCTCATTGATTGTTGGCTGCAGTGCATTTCAGAGCCATGAGACAGGGCTCAGGCATCCGTGGCCGATGATAAAACATGTATGAAGGGGCACAGAGTACCTCGTGCTGGCCAGGGGACACTGGTTGGGAGAGCGCGTTCTGGAAGCGATGGTGAAAGGAAGGGGCTGGGAGACTGAACCAAGAAGGGCCAGTGAATGCCAGGCTGAGGAGCTTCAACTTGGCCACCTGAGTCCTGGGGAGCCATTGCAGGCTGTAGCGTTAGTTCTTCGTGTTAGAAAGATCACCGCCTCAGACTCCTGGGAGTGGCCAGCCTGGTAGGGGTGGGTGGGGTCCAGATGCCAGGCACTGAGCCTGAGCAGGGCACAGGCAGGCTGGGGTGGGGTAGGAGAAGACAGGGAGGGGTAATTCAGAGCGCTGAGTCCAGCTCGAGGGTCCCTGGTGGGGCTTGGTGAGGTCCTAAGACGGACGCCCACCCCCTGGCTGCCGGCCACGGAGGCCGGGGCCCGGAGCGCCCGTGCCGCGGTCGGGAGGGCCGCACGCTGGGTCCTGTTCCGCTGTCTTCGCGGCTCTCACCTCACCAGGAGTTCGTGGCTCTGGGTCCCTCGAGGGTCACAGCCCGCACTGCAGTGGTCACGTGGCTGAGAGGCTACTGGGGGTGTCCGGGGCCATTCTCCCCTCACCTGCCACTGCTGGTCCTCTCTGTCCAGGGGTGGTGGGGAGGCAGAGTCACGTGACCGAACCCCAGCGGCTACGGGTCAGGTCTGTGTCAGCCCTGAGCACCTTCCTCAGCGCCCAGGCCCCCAGGGACTGCCCCCTCTCCTCTCCTCTCCTCTCCCTGCTGCTGCCACCCCTCGCCTGCTCAGGTCCTCAGACCCCCAAACCTAGGTGAGAGGCAGGTGCCGTCTGCCCAATGTTCCCTCACCTTCATGTTCGCCATCTACCTGGGACCCGGATAACAACAAAGAGCAGAAGAAGGCTCAGGCTGTCTGAGTCCCCACCTGGGCTAGGCTCCTGCTCCCTCCCTGAGACCCCCCAGAAGCCCCTTTGTCCTATTATTCTCTTCTTATTCCTGAGTGGGACCTCAAGGTCTCCGTCCCTCAGGCCTCGCCCTTCTCTGAGGTGACACTTGGCCTCTAGAAAGCCACTGGGCATGGCAGAGGTGCCCAACCTTGTCCAGCCTGAGACTCTGTACTCAGCCCTGGCGTCCCCTCCCAAGAAGGCCTGAGCCTCAGGCAGAGGTGGAGCCCCCCCATCATCCCTCTGAAGCACGTTGCATGGTTCCTAGAAGGGAGGAGGCACTGCATGGGAAGCATGGCCTAGGGAGGATGACCCAGACTTCCAGAAGTCTGGGGAGGGGCCCAGGAGGCGAGAACACGTACCCATGTGGCAGCGTGTGGGAGGTTTGGCTCGGAGATGCCACGTGCAGCACCATCCCCAGGCGCTGTGGCGTGGCGTGTTTCCAAAAAGGTGCCGATGGAAGCACACTACACTACTTTCAGGAATAAATCTTGCCTTGTGTGAAGCCAGAGCTGGCGTGGGGAGAGAACAGGAAGCTTAATGGGCATGGGGTCGGCTCCGAAGCCGGTGGCCTGGGTCTGAGAGCTGGCCCTCCCTGTTTTCTGACCTTGGGCAATGCACGCCACCCGGCGGAGCTTTGGAGGCCTCGGATCTCAGGGTGGGTGACCGGGGCATCCGCCGCGGCCGGGTGTGTGGAGTGAACGAGATGCTGCAGGTAAAGTGTCCGAGGCTGTCTAGCCTGTTTAGTAACATTGCGAGGGATAAATAAATGGTGATGAGGAAAAAGAAGGCGAATGCTGGCAGCCATCTTAGCGTGGGACCAGCTTCAAGTAAGAACGGATCCTAGGCGCACCCCAGCGCGTGGGGGGCTGAGAGGAGGCGAGGGTAACCAGCCTCCCCCATGGCCCGGCCGCTGCAGGCCTCCCCTCAGCGTTTCCTTGTCGGCCTCTTTGCCTCCTAACAGATGTTCGCCATGGTGTGTAGGTAATAGAAGTTTTGCTCCCTGATTCAGCCCCACAACAATGCTGGTGTATCCCCATTTGACAAATGAGGAGCCTGAGGCCCTGCCCTGTGTGGCCATTTTCCCAGGCGGATTTGCTTTCATGAAGAGCCCCCTGGCTTTGGGGCGCAGTGGGCACGGCTGACGGGCTCCCAGGCCCAGCGCGTTCAGGCACCACTAGGCATCCCCCCAGGGGCTGGCGAGTTCTGCTGTCCCACGGACCTCGTGGCTCGGCTGCAAGCCCCCGGCGGGCACCCCCCATCACCCAGCCCGCCCCCCGCCCCCTTCCGGTTCAGTCACTCGGCAAGCAGCTGCCAGCCCTGCCTTGCAGGCTGAGGACTGGGATCCGGGGACGTGGCGATAAATCATGTGTGATCTGTGCCCTAGAGGGGCTGGGAGGAGAGGTGGGCATGGCAGAGAGTGGGGGTGATTGGCAAGTATAATATAGGTGGGAAGTGTGGCAGAAGTCCAGGGCAGGGGGACAAGTTCCTGGTGTCTCGGGCAGGCCGCCCCCAGCAGCCCACGGCAGGTGTTCTGAGCTGGGAATTGGCTTTGTGATTTTAGAAGTTTGGAGTGGCAGCTCTGGCCTGAAAGAGGCGGACCCCTGCCTACATACGCACTGTTCCCCTCCCCAGAGCAGGGACAGCCCCTCGGGGAAGGGGGTGCCCCAGAGAGGACTTCGGAAGGCCTTGAGGCACTTGCGTGCCATCAGTACAATCCTCATTGTCGCCCTGACGATGGCCCGCCCACTGTGCGCCACCCCGGCTTATAGCTCGTGTCCAAATCCTATACATAAAATGTGTATGGGATCCACACCACATCTTCCAAATTCTGAACTGTCCACATTGCTGCTCCATCTTCTCAGGACCTTTCTTTCCAGAGCAGGAGCCCTTCCTTATCCCCTTTATTAAATTGTATAGGACTTTGTGCTGATAGAATCCTAGTCTTGCGACCAGAAGCCCTTTGTGAGCAGCCCTGGAAACCCCTCTTTATGGAATTACAGTCGAGAAAGGATAACATATAAACCTCAGGCACCTTGTTAACTTCCGTGTGCCTGAAAGACTTCAGCTGTGTTAAGCTGCCTTATTTAATTGTGCTCATGCATCGCTCCGTGTCTCCTGCTTGTCAGGCTGAGTGCCCACAGCTCTGGATAAGTGGAACTTGAGATTTCATTGCCCTAAGACCCCTCAGGAACGGGCTTCTGGTATCACGATTCACCTGTCAATTTATCTTATCATTCATCTTTAAAAATGTGTTCAGAAACAAACGTCACTGAGCGCCTGCACTGCCAGGCCTCACGCTGGAGGCCCAAGTTACCAAACTGAATGGGGTTTGACCTCCAGCCTTGAGTCAATCACAGTCCTCCCAGGATGACTGACAAGCAGACGGACAATCAGAATCTTCCCAGGATGTCAGCGCCAGGACAGGGTCAGCTGTGGGCTGTGGGAAGACAGAGGATCCTATACCGGTGGGGGGATGGCAGTCAGGGAAAGCTTCTCGTAGGAAGTAACACTCCCAGGCTGAGCCATGGCGGAAACACAGGGATTCACTGGGCAAAGAGGGAGGGAAAGACATAAGAGGCAGTATGTACAAAGGCGCCAAGACAGATGTGCTGTGGTAGGTGTGCCGGACCGTGGTGTGTGTGTGTGTGTGTGTGTGTGTGTGTGTGTGTGCGCGCGCGCGCGCGCACACGCATGAATGCATGATGGGGAAGCCAAAGGAAAGGGGCTGGCAAGAGATGAATGGGATGGGTCGACTCATGAAGGGGCTTTGTGTGCTGTGCTAAGGAGCTTGGAGTTTATCCCAAAGCCACGGAGAGCTATTGAAAGGGGCTTTGAGCAGGGGCGTGCTGTGATCACATTTGCGTGTTAGGGGATCACCCTGGCAGCCCTGTGGAGGATGGATCGGAGGGGCCAAAGCTGGAGACAGGGAGATCAGTCGGGATTTCTTGGGATTTTCTCTGTGGTTTTACAGATCTGACAAGCTGGCTGGGGTGGGCCTGGCGCGCACCAGCTTAGAGAGAAAATAAAAGCTCTGGAAGCCCATCTGAAATGGCTTCCTGACTCAGAGTTTAATTCCATCTTCATTTGCTGATTCCCCAACCTGCCGCCCCCACTCCAGCCTAAGGACAGACACCTCGTATTCCCAGATCCCTGTCCTCCCCAGAGTCCTGAGCGCCTGGCAGCTGTCAGTGTTTAGTCAGAAGGGATCGTGCTGGTCTGGGCTCCTCTGGATCTTCACCCCTGGAATGCCAGGCCGCAGAGCCCAAACATTGCCTTTCCTCTCACACCCGGCCGGCTGCTCGCAGTGCACAGAGCAGCCATTGAGGGGCCGCGCGAGGCTGGCGGGGGTCCCGGGCCACGTTAGTTACGGGCAGCGGCTTAGTCACGCTCCTCAGAGCCTTTCTTCTTGGGACAAGCATGGCCTTGTGCTGAGGGCCCTCCTCATGCAGCCGCCTGGCCCGAGGCAGCTGCGGAGCCCTCTGCCAGCCCGTACAGCACACTTCGGAGGCCCTGCTAACGGGAACCGAAGCACGGCGTGAGCGCTAAGCCCTGGGGGCAGAGGGCCACCCTGGAAGGCTGCTCTGAGAGCCCTTCCGCCTTCTCTGCGTCGTCGGGCACCCCAGCCTCCGTTCGCAGGGGCGGGGCCCTGGGCAGTCCTGTTCCTTTGGCCTGTAGCCTTGAGGAAGCCTGGGAAGACTGTGGAAGTCTTCCCCCGCCCCTGTACCCACTCCTGTGTTAAAGCCGACCAGCCTCTGCAAAGCAGTTCCCAAAACACAGCCTGCAGTGGCATTGTGCCCCTGGAGTCGGCGGATTGCACGCGCGTATGGAGCACCCACTGTGCACTTGTGCCCCAGGCAGGGTGCTCTTACATGCGGCGGTGTCTGTCTGCAGGCTGGGCTGCCTGTGTAGTTCAGAGCTCGGCCTCTGAGTACAGACTGCTCCAAACCGTGGCTTCTCTGTCCACCAACGGTGCCTGGGAAAGTTTCCTTGCCTCCTTTTGCCACGGTTTCTTCATCTGTTGTGTGGGGATATTACAGCATCTACCTCGCTGGGCTGGTGGGAGGGCTGACTGAGGAAACACTGAACACGTTTAGCTGAGCACCTGACACTTAGTATGGGGTCAGTACAGGGCTGCCGCCGCTCTCCCCCTTTCATGACGCTGTCGTTACTGCGTCTTCGCCGCTGCTCGGGGGACAGCATTCTTCCCATTTAAGAGGCGAGGAAGCTGAGGCCCAGGCAGTTCAGTAACTGGCCCGATGTCACACAGCCAGCCACGGGCAGAGCTGAGGTTTGAACCCGGCTCCCTGTCCAGTGCTCCTGCAACATAGCCACCGCTGGGGTAAACGGAGCCAGCAGTGAGGAGCTCCCGACCCTGAGGAGGGGCTGGGGGTGGAGGGTGGGCCCTCCCAGGTGGGCCCTCCCATTTCATCTTGTGCTTTCTCTCTGCTTCTCCAGGTCTCTGAACCAGGAGACGAGAGTCGACAGAGCTCAGGGATGGCGAAGGGCCTGACGTGGAGGCGGAAGCTGCCGCTGCAGGGCCCAGTGGCTGGAGATAAGTGATGGTGTCATCTGAGCACCTGCTGGAAACGGGGCAGGAGGAACAGTAACCCCCGGGGAGCGCAGGCTGGCTCCACGATGCGGAGATGACGCCTCCGGAGGCCCAGGCCTCCCTCCCGCCCGGGTGCTAGGAGCCATCCCCAGGCTCCAGCCAGGAGCCCTGCCGCCCAGGGGCATGGCCAAACCCTTCTTCCGACTCCAGAAGTTTCTCCGCCGAACACAGTTTCTGCTCTTCTTCCTTACGGCCGCCTACTTGATGACCGGCAGCCTGCTGCTGCTGCAGCGGGCCCGAGTGGCCCTGCCACAGGGTCCCCGGGCACCTGGCTCCCTGCAGGCCTTACCCGTGGCCGCCATGGCGCTGGGCGTGGGCCTGCTGGACAGCAGAGCCCTGCAGGACCCCCGTGTCAGCCCAGAGCTGCTGCTCGGCGTGGACGTGCTACAGAGCCCCCTGGCCCGGCCCCGGCCTGGACCCCGCTGGCTCCGGAGCCGCAACTCGGAGCTGCGCCAGCTGCGGCGCCGCTGGTTCCACCACTTCATGGGTGACCCCCAGGGGCTGCCCGCCCTGGGCCCCGAGGCCCCCAGGCCAGCCGCCAGCAGCAGAGGTGGGTGCCCAGCCCCGGTTTCCCTGTTAGGGTGTGTTTTGGGAGCTGCTCTCAGGAGCCCTGCTCGGGGTCCCAGAATTGGTGGCCCCTTTCTCCAGCGCTTGGGGCAGCTGAGAAGTAGGCGCTGTAGGCCCACGGGCTTCACAGATTGTTCCTTCCCTCCTGCTCTGCAGGACACAGGAAGGGCCCATGATGGGAAGCCCTTTGAAGTTTGCTCTCTCACCAGCTGGACATCCATGTGGCTCAAGGCCAAGATGTGTGAGTAGGTCACTTAGAGCTCAGGCCTTGGGCTCAGACCATTCTCATCTTGACTCTTGGCTTAGCCACAGACTCGCTGCGTAACCTTGACCATGTCGTTTAATTTCTCCGGGTCCCTCTGACATGAAGAGAGAGACCTACCCCAGGGTTCTTGTGAGGACTAAATGTGATCGTGTAAAGCAGTGGTTTGCAAAGCGGGGTCCCAGACCAGCAGCTTCAGCATCACCAGCGAGCTGCTTACAAGTGCCCATTCTCAGGTTCTCCCAGGCCTGCTGAATCCCGAGCTCTGGGGCAGGGGCCATGGGCCGTGGGCCGTGCAGCCGCGCCCTGCAGAAGATTCTGCTCTGCCTCTAAGCTGAAGACCACTGGGCTGGGGGACCTAGTGTATTGTTTGGCATTCAGTAACTGGCAGCTATTATTATTTAATAAAAAAGGCTAACTCATATGACATTTCCTATGTACCTGTAAATGTGCTATTTATGGGCACCATTATTATATTCTAATATTCCAGATGAAGAAACGGGGGCACGAAGAACTTAAGTAAATTCCCGAGGTCCTTCTTTTAGTTTGGGTTCCTGCAGGCAAACCCTGAAACAAGAGTTCCAGTGCACATGGTATATTTGGGATGGGACCCCAGGACCACTGTGAGGGAGTGAGAGTGAGACAGGGAAGGGGAGACAGCCAGCGAAGGGTGTGCGACGGAGCAGGTGGGGACTCGGGACGAGGGGCGAGCAGGCATCTCAGTGCAGCCTGGAAGCAGCAGGGCCTGGGGACATGGGCACGATCACTCCTGCCGCAGTCACACTGCTGGGAGTCCAACATAGGGACAGCTGGCTTCCGGTCGGGGCTCTTGCACTGAGTTCCACAGGCTCCGTGCAGGGCCCAGTCATGGGGCCTGCATGGGAGGGGCACCCAGAAAGCGTCCGGCTGTTGTTGGGCTTTGGGCTTATTAGACAGAAAGGACTAGTTCTTTATAACCTGACTGCAGCGTGACTGGCCAGCAGAGGGGAAGGCTCAGGGTGACCTAGTTATAGCCCTGGGTGTAGAGTTCGTACGTCCAGGAGACCCAGTGGGTACCCCTTTGCTTTAAGTCATCTCCAGTGACTCAAGGAAGTGATGGAAGGGGCTCCAGGGAAGACCGAAGGGCTGTGGTTAGTTCAGCTATTAAATACCAGTATGGCCTTATCAGTTGTTAAAATATTGGCACGGTTACAGCCCCGCGTCCCTGGGGTGCCGTATACACTCTGGCTTCCCCCCCCCAAAGAGACCCCCAAACCTCCCTAGGACCCAGCAAGTGAAAGGTTAATGCTCGGTACCGCAGGAACAGCAGCATCCAGTTGTAGTGTTGAATGGTAGCAATTCCGAATGGTCAGTAACCTCCCATAGGTTATTAAATATGTTTAATATCCCCCACGATTTCAGGGAGGACGTGTACTCTGGGAGAGGCAGTTGTGTCCCGGGCTGGAAATCTTCAGAGAAAGCGGGGAGGGGCGGGGCGCTGGCCCGAAAGCCCTCGGGGAGCCTCCGTCCCCTCGGGGGGCCCTACACGGCCAGTCAGGCCTCATTGGTGGAGGGTAGCCCCCCGTCCAGCCCTCGGGACAGCTGTCGGGGCTGCGCACAAAGAGGGCGTCTCTCTGAGGCGCGGGCAGCCTGCCATCCTCCTGAAAAGGGATCCCGCGAGCCGCGGAAGCTGCAGGAGGCTCCATCAATCACTGAGCATTTCATTATACCTTGGACAACATCCATAATGGAATAAAATGTCAGTAAGTTTACTAGGGGAAAAATAGTAACTTCTCCATAGCCAGTTTGTTTTTTATTGATAGTAATTTCCAAAGACATTCCAATATCTCCAAAGCCATCATTAATAGCCGCACGGCATGTCCATTTTGATGTGCAAATGAACAGATGTGGAGTCACAGACAATAATGCGTTGCCTCCATTTCAGCCGAAAGTAATAAATCCACCTCAGAATGTGTCCCAGCGTATCCCTCGGAAGTCCTTTTCTTTCTGCACATCCTCGCCCCTGTCAGGGAGTTAGAAAGGCCGTTCATTATCTTTCCAGAAGAAAGGGCTCACCTCCTCCTCACGGAGAGGCAGGCCATCTGCGGCTCAGGACCCTGCTGCAAACTGAGCCCAGGCCAGCCAGGCGAGGGCTCCCCCCAAGACTGGTCAGTGCCAACAGAGGGCCAGCTGCTGACTGGTTAGCCACTCCCTGTTTTCCAAAGAACCCAAGCCTGACTGATTGAAACCAGTTCTTTCTGCCTTTTATGAATGTGTTAATTTTTCAGCTGCTACTTACTGATCCATCATCACACCAGGTCCCAGGTTAGAGTATAGGATCAGAATAATCATAGCTGTTATTTATTCGAACATCTGTTAATGGCAAAGCATTGTTCTGTGTAGATAGATGTACGTCTGTTATCTCGTTTAATTTCAAACAGCCTTATATGTATATGGTGCTACTGCCATGTAATGATGAATTTGAGTTTCAGGGAAGTAAAGCAATTTTTAAATGTTTATTATTAAACATGAAATGTTGACACAACAGTCATGACTGAGCACAAGCAACATCCCACGCCTTGTGTTAGACACTTCCTGTGTGTAATGGAATTCTCACCACCACCCCATGAATTCCACGGGAGCACAGCCCCATTTCACAGGTGGGAAAGCTGAGGCTCAGGGAGGAGAAGCTGCACATGCCAGGTCACACAGCCAGATCATGATGGAGGCTGGATTTGAACCTAAGTCAGCCCATTCCCAAAAGCTGCTCCTTATTCCCCCAGATACAGGTACGTACCATTCCTCAGGCGTCTTGAGCCCAAGTACCTTCACAACCTGTAGGTTAATTTCTCACCAACAGTGATAAATGTTTAACAACCCCCGAGCTTGTGTTTTGGATGTTTAATTGAAAGCTATAATAGAATTTCTTCTTCGTTGAGCAATACATGAGAAATTTCTGAAACATTAGTTTTCTTATACTAAGTAGGAGGCTGAGGAGGCAAGCAGCTCATCCTCGCTGACCTGGGGGAAATCTTTCTGCAGTGGTCCATTCTGGTGTCTGGGGTCCTGAGACTTTACATAACCAGAGAGTAAAGCTTTCAGGGTCTGGGGGTCTGGGAGTCCTGAGTGGAGGGGTGTAGCGTGTGCCTATGGAAGGACACGGGGTGTGGCCACATGTGTGCTGATGGGATCACGAGAGGGTCATTGCCTGGAAGGGGGAGAGATACCTCCCTCTCTTAGGGTGACAGGACAGGGCTGCTGCAGACTCCCACTGGCATGTGCATGGTTGGGTCGGCACTGCCGCTGCGTTGCGGTGTCATGTCCTCCTCCAGAGGCGTATCAGAGGTGCCTGGACTGGCGAGGACCCAGCAGTCCTTGGTCTTGTTGAGCCCCATACAGCACGGCTCTCTTACAGGCTAATAGACTGAGCTTACACACCTCCAGTGATGGGGGCTTGCTTGCTTCGGAGACAGCTGGGTTTTTTGTTTTTTTTTTCTTGAAATAATTCTATCTGTTTGCAAGATCTTGTTTATATTGCTAAGATCAGTTTCCACAATTAATTTCTGCCTTCTGAATTACAAGGAGGTGACAGAACCTGCCCCTTGGGACTTTTGTGGAGATAGGGAGGCCTCTCTAAACCTAGGAAAGGTAGGGATTGGGGAAGAAGAGGATTCAGGGCAGCTGTTGGGTTGGCCAAAAAGTCCGTTCCGTTTTTCCCATAGGATGGCTCTAGTTGTGCTTACTTGTCTTTAACTTCATTCAAAACCCCAATTTTGTTAGATTGTATTGCGATAGCTGTCATAGCAGCATGTATTTAAGAAAAACATCAAAATTGGTTAATTTTTCTGCAGCCATTTTAATTTTGAAGATGGAAGAAGATACACAACATTTTTGATGTATTATGGTGATGCAATATTTCAAAAATGCAACTGAAATACAAAAAAAGGTTTGTGCAGGATATGGAGAACGTGTTGTGACTGATCAAACATGTCAAAACAGGTTTGCAAAGTTTTTTGGTACTATTGACATTTTGGCCAAATAATCCTTTGCTGTGGGGCTGTCTTATGCATTGGAAGATGTTTAGCAGCACCCCGGCCTCTACCCACTAGAAGCCAGTAACGGGAAATAGCCAACATACTCAAAATATCCAAATCAATAAAGTTATTGGTGAAAATGAAAAATGTGTCTTTTAGTTTATGGAAAAAAACATAACAGATTTTTTGGCCAACCCAATACTGAAGCCAGCAAGACTTGCTGAGTTGGGGTGGAAGAACGTAGTATTCACACTGACACCAGGTCCCTGTCTAGGGGGACAGTGGGCCATCAACTAAGAAAAGGGGCAGGAAGGGAACAGGATGGAAGTATCCAGAAGCACTACTGGGAAAGTGGGACCACAGCCTCATCCCCTGGCTTCCCTGAGAGGTCCCCTTGGCCAGGAAGGACCGGGGGTTGCCTTGGCATTTCCTGAGGGCGGGGGGTGCTGTGATTAGGAGCCCTCCCTCTCTCGGGGCCTGAGTCTGCTCTGCTTCTCCGCCCTCAGGCACCTATGTTGGATGCTTCAGTGACGATGGCCAGGAGAGAACGCTGAAGGGCACTGTGTTTTTTGACTTGAGAAAGATGACCGTCTCCCACTGCCAGGACGCCTGCGCTGAGCGGTAAGTGTGGGCCCCGGACCCTCTTCTCCACTGGAAGAGAGGCCAAGAGGCAGTCCCCACAAGGAGGGGACACTCTGACTGCCAGTTGGCTGTCAGAGTGTCACTAATCAGGGCTTGATTGGTCAGGTCCCAGCTGTCCAGAAGAAAGAAAGTTTACTGATGAGGTGGCAGGGAGTTGTGGAAAGAGCCCGGGGCTCGGTACCAGGAGACCAGGGTTCGAGTCCAGCTCTGCCAAGGACTTACTGGGTGACTTCGCTCCAAGTGCTTTTCCTTTCCTGGGTCTCAGTTTACTTCTATGTTTAAAGTAGAATAAAGGGCTTTAACCCAGATTTTCCTGAGGACCTGTCTAGCTCTGGAGGAAAAGTTACTGTGTTTATAACAAGACTTGTTCTTTCCGCTACTGCCAGCTCACTCAGTCATTCCCAGACACTGGGTGTACACCAGGAAACGGCCCCCGCCCTCGAGGCGCTCCCAGTGCCCTTTGCATGTGTGTGCGTGTGTATGTCTGTGCACGTATGTATGCACATGCTCTCACGTGGCAGACGGGCAAAATAGAGTCGGCAGATGGTACTCTTGGTTTATTTCAGAAACATAGATTCCTTCATATTTGTTGTGTCATAAATCCTCACTACCTCCTGCTAGGTAACCACTAGTTACGCCCATTTTATAGGTGGAGAAACTGAGGCCAGCGAAGGAAAAGGCAGGGTCCCTGTCAAGTGTGCTTTCTAGTCTAGCGAGAGCTAAAACTGAGGCTGACACATTCTCATGTTATGCTCCCAACGGTTAAGGAAACGGAGACTCAGAGGTAGGAAGTGGCATTGAGGGTCACACAGCTCGCGAGGGGCCCAGTGAGGATCAGGAGCTTGTGTTTGGGTTTTTAATCTGGGATTTTTATACCCAGGTCCACGGAGGTGGGAGTTTGGAAGTGTTGGCCTCTTTTCACAGTTAAAATACTGTGTGATACAACATTGGGTCCATTTGCTATCTTTCTTTACCTACAGCCTTACAACTGGGCAGAGGCGGGTAAGAGTGCCTTTTGGGGGAAGGAGGCTGCCGGGGGCCCGTTTGTAACATGTGGGGGCGCTGGGGACCAGTGGCGTGTTGGCTGGCTCATGAGAGCGAAGTTGTAGAAACGTGATAAGCCCGTTAATAAACCATTGGTAACTTGACATCACCTACAGAAATTAGCAAATGCCATCAATTAGGGCTCCTTCCCTCCCATCCTCAGAACCAACTAACAGCACACCACTGCTGTAGATACATCATAATCTGTTCCCATGGATAGCACCTTAGGGGTCCAAGCCCAGGGCCAACAAGAGGAGCCCATGGGGCTGATTCAGTTAGCTTATCACAAAGAAAAGACTGTCCCCTAAACCGGGGCAGATGACCCCGGAGCCTGGCTGAGACTGACCGCCGAGGGCAGCCACCTGCTGCGGGCCATGGCCCCCGGCCCCACCCCCTCACCCAGACCTGACCTCTGCTTCAAGCCCAGCCCTCCTCCTGGCCCCAGACCCAGCTGTCGTTCTGCCATCCAGACTCAGTGCCTTTAGGGCCCCAGCGTAGCTCTGGGCCACGGGCAGCTCACCCCAGGCCTCCCTTTCCCTGCAGGTCCTACGTCTACGCCGGCCTGGAGGCTGGGGCGGAGTGCTACTGCGGGAACCGGCTCCCGGTGATGAGCGTGGGGCCAGAGGAGTGTAAACACGAGTGCAAGGGGGAGAAGGGCTCCGTGTGCGGGGGTGTTGGCCGGCTCTCTGTCTACCGAGTGGAGGAGCTGCAGCCGAGCTCCAGGAAGCGTGAGTGTGCCAGCTGCCCCCTAAGCTCTGCCTGTCCCCTGCTCTCCAACTCCCGCCCTCCCCTGTGCCCACCTGTCGGCCCTCATCCAAATTACTTGGAACAGAAACTCTGCCCTCCCTTTCTTATCACCTTCCCTGGACAGGCTCGTCACAGAGGGGAGTGGGGTTAGAGGGTGCCAAAGGTTGCTTGAGTTCATAACTGAGGCACATTTTTCTTTGTCCCCTGAAGGAGGGAGAAACTGATCAGGAGGCCTGGGACCTAGGCCTGGGCCTAGGTATGGCTCTAACATGCTGTGCGGCCTCAGGCAGCTCGCTTTCCCTCTCTGGGTTCCAGTCTATTTTGTAAAGGGCAGAGGCAGGCCTAGATTTTTGAGCGATGGGGTGGACCAGATAACCTGAAAGTTTCCTAGCTATAGGAAACACCTAGAAACGGTGGGTAAAACTAAACAAACAGTATTTTCCGTGCATGGCCAAACTAAGAAGAAAGTAAGGCCATCCCTTGCTCCAGAACAGAGGGAACTAAAAATCCCAATGGTGAGATGAGAGTCAAGAAGATGCTGTGCAGCTCTGGGTCTCCACAGAGGGAAGTTGCTGGGCTTAGTGGCCTCAGGCTGAGGTTTTAGCGTCCGCATGGGGCAGAGAAGGAGGCTTTGCGCTGGTTGGGATAAGGAATTACATGGAAACCTCTGCATATGGTGGGATTCAGTTTCACTGAAGTATAAGTCAGTAAAATGTAGGTTTTGTTGGGGTTTTTTAATATCATCTACTAATTCAGGGAGATAGAAAGAAAACATGTCTATTTTGACCTGAGCTTCTGGTGGAATAAAAAAAATCTCCCTAAGTGTTTGTATTGTAATTGTGGGCCTGCGTGTGTATGAGTTTTGAGGTTCAGATTTATACGATCGGCCTGGTCCTGGAAGCTCCCCCAGAAGAGCCGGCCCTGGCCCACCTGGCGGTGCTGGCAGAGGCTAACGCAGTGCCTCCTGGGAGCTGTGTCGCCAACCCCAGGTAGAGAGTCCCCGTAGGTAAATTCTCACTGAAGATAAGCTTACAATTTCAGTACAGAACTCAGGGAAATAATCAGCCCTGAGGGAAAGTCAGCCGATGCTTCGGACAGCAAGAACCCCCAAGAATTTCGACGGAAAGTGCTTTCAAATAGAGATGACAACGGTGGGGGCCCCCGCTACGTGTGTCCGAAACTCAAGTTTGTCCCGATTGCGAGCTGATGAGCCCCAGATCCACTTAAACTCATTATAAAAGGCTTCTTTATAAAATAAATAGGACTGTGCACTTTTGCACATCTGGGGGCCATCCTTTTCGTAAGTGGGCAGGGCCAGGCTGGGAAGGAGCCGGAGTGTGGGAGACCGCCCCCCACCGCTGCAAGGGGGAGGCAGTTGGTGATGGAGCACAGCCCAGCGCCCCGGTACGCCGATTCACGGACACAGCCGCCTCCGGCTGCGCACCTAGTGCCAGGGCTCCAGGACAGGAAATGGACTAGTTCAAGGGCGGGGCCGAGCTCAGGAAAAGTGGGCTTAGGTCAGAAGCTGGAACTGCAGACCGGTGTTTGGGAGAGCTCTGCTGACCGTGAACCTTTGCCACACGGCACGGAAGCCTGGCTCTGACAACCATGGTGACTGTTTACGAGGTCAGAGTGACAGGGAGAGTGACTTAGTGCTCAGGCCCGGCCAACCGAGACCGCTTTAGTACTTATAATCAGGGAGGATCTATCTGGGCACAGGGGCTCCGGGTTGGGGAATGGGGCAGGGGTTGTAACCCTGGCAACACATTCCTTAAGATTCACCAATGAGGCCATTAACTCAACAGATAGTCAGTGACACCTGCTGTGTGCCAGGCCCTGTCCTGGCGCAGAGGTTGCCCTGGTGCATGGATTTATCAAGTTCTGCCCTGTCACCCAGGCATCCATGTGGGCTTCCCAAGGATCAGAATGTTCCAGACTGGCTTCTTGGATCTTTGGTTTCCCTGGGTCCCAACAATAGCACCCCCCAACCCCTCTCCTCTGCCCGCCAGCAGGACCAGGTCTATGCGTGGACCTGGGGCAGTGCCTGCTCAGCCACTGACCCTTAGAGAGTTAGTTTTGCATGAGGTTGCCCATTGGTTAAGGGTGAGATGGCCCAGTAGTTCAAGCCAGACTCAGATCTCGAGCTGGCTGGACCTGATGCTACAGTTAATGTTGAAAACGGTGCAGGAGCTGCCCCCTTGGATGGGCCATGGAGCCCACGTGGTTGACCTTTGCCTTCCCACTCCCTTCACAAGGGGATAAGCCGGCAGGATCTCTGTTAAGAGGCAAGCAGGTGACCACCCATGTTAAATGTCAGCTTGTCCCTAGCAAGGAGCACCCACAGGAATAGGAGCCGTGAATGTGCTCCCCAGGTTGGGATCAGAGGTGGGATCAGAGGCAGGAACAGAGCAGCTCATCAGTGACTTCATCTTGAAGGTGTCCTTCTGCCCTGAGCGGCCCTGGGGCTGTCACCTGGGAAGTGAGGAGGGGGTTGTGGAGAGGCTGCGCTAGATGACAGCCCCTTCCCTGGCAGTCACTCAGCGACGATGTGTCGAGGCGGCTGAGGCTGCCGTCCCCAGCAGCTCTGGCATTGCAGTGTGCACTGGGCTCTCCTGGGCCCTGTCGTGTTCGGTTTGTTCATCCGCTCCGCCCTCATTGGGCACCTGCTGTGTGTCAGAGTCAGGGCTGGGGGTGGGGAGTACAGGGGCGACGCAGTTGCAGCCTCCCCCTGGAGCTGTCCCTGCAGCCGGGGATGCCCGTGACCCTGACCCCTCTGTGCCCAGCCTATGCTGGTTATCCTCTCTGTCGCGTGCCCTGGAGCCTGTCTCCCGGGGTCTGTCCCACCCAGAGCAGCTGGCTGAGGACCACTGCCCAGTCCATCTAGCTGTTTTGTTCTTTGGGGGCCCACTCATGCCACAGGACAGGAAGGAATTCAGTGAGCCCGCACAAGCCAGCGCCCCAGGCCCTATGGGCAGCCACATCAGGGGCTGGCTTGTGGGTGTTGTTGACCCTCAGAACAGCTCTACCTGCCAGGCATTATGCAGGTGAGGAAGCAGTCTCTGAGTGCATGACATGGCCAGGTGTCAGAGCAAGTCACCAGCGGTGCCAGGACTTGACCTCCAGCCATTAGGATGCTCAGCCTGGACTGTTTTCCTGGCACCAGGCTGCTTTCCTTCATTTGTGCCAGGAGTTTGGTGTGCTGACGTCCATACCACTGGCCATGGGGTTGATCAGATGGGCTTCCAGACCCAGGGCTGGTCCTGCGTTGCCATTCTGCATGGAGAGCCCTCCCACTGCAGCACTGGCTGCGGAGGGTGTCTGTGGCTGGTCACGAGCGGTGACAGGCAGAGGGAGCAGGTGGAGACGCTGAGCACCAGGAGACATGGTGTTCAGAGGGGCTGGGGGTGAGAATCAGGATGCTGTCTAGAGAAACTGATGAGTCTGGAAGAAGAAGTATGAGCAGTTAGTGCCGGAACATTCCAGAAGGTTTGTTCAGCACCAGGGAAGCCAACTGGGGATCTACAGTTTCCCACCAGAAGGTCTGGAGAACAGCATGGCCAGAGGCTTCCTCTGTAACAGGGGCTTAAGGAGTGTTCCTAGAATTTGGTGGGACTTCCAGATTGGGGAGGAAGCAAAACAGAGGTAGACTCGATGGCACAGTGAGAGGGACTGTGGCAGGGTTTCGGATTTCCAAATCGACTTTTCTTTCCACACATTCACGGGGAAGTCATAGACTTTTCCAGGTTGCCAGCCTCTTGGGTCACCTCATGCAGAATCTGGCACATTGATGGGTGTACAATCCAGATTTGTGGAAGAAAGGAAGAAAGGGAGGGAGGGAGGGAGGAAGGACACCATCCCCCGAGAGCTGGCAGCAAGAATGAGACCTTCACTTCAGACAAGTGGCCCCTTGTCAGTGACCCTGGGTGACCGAGGTTCTGGTGCCTGGTTTCTCTCAGGAGCTTGGCTTGGCCACACCCCATCCAGGGCGGTTTGCCTTCTCTGATGTGAAATCTGCCCCTCCTGAGGACAGTTACACCTGTTTCAGGATCTGAAGCCACCAGCTTCCCTTGGATCAGACAGTAACAATCAGGAGCAGGGTTTCTCACCGGAACCCCTTTTTTCCCTTAGGGAGGACAGTCACCTACCGCGGGTGCTTCCGACTGCCGGAGAACATCACACACGCCTTCCCCGACTCCCTGATACAGGCCAACGTGACAGTGGAGACGTGTTCGGGATTTTGTGCCCAGAAAGTAAGACCAATTGTGTTCCACCACAGTCCAACGTGTGCGGTGGTCTCAGAGCGGGGGCAGTGCCGGTGCCGGGCCGCAGACGCCTGCCCACTCTCAGAGCGGCAGGCCCCGCCATAGACGTCGCTGAGGGCGCCTGCCGGGAGCCCATTGCTCAGGGTGGTGATTCCAGGCTGGGTGGGGAATTGTCAGCAAAGGTTGTAAAAGCTGAAAGGATCATGCCTTTCTCGACATGAGCTCTTGGCACAAGTGTCAGATGTTAAATTTTAAGACTTGGTTTGGCAGCAAGAAGATGCTGGCTCGGGACTTGGGGACAGCGGGTGGATTTTCCGTTACGTGTGCTGACAGTGTTGGGGCACGAATCTGACTTCAGAGGCTGGAGTCAGGCGGGCACCTTTGGCTCAGCCTGGGCGGAGGGGTGGAACTGACTCTCTGCAAGGGCTGCGCTGGGCACCAAGGGCCATTGTCCCTGCAGTGCATGTTAGCTTTGGGGTGGGAGCGTTGGCCAAGATAGGGCTTGCAAAAGACAGTACAGGGAGTTGCTAAGGGAGGCTGTAGAGACTGTACAAAGAGCGCTGAGGTCTGGGGATGGTGCCCAGCAGTCCCGATTGCTCTGATGCTGCAGCCCCAGAGATGTCCCTCCGTGGCAGTGGGCTGGGGTTTGGGGCTGCTCCTATGTACGGGGTTTCAGGAGCTTTGATGGGACCCCAATACCTGGCATTGTAACAGTGGGGTAGGAGAGAGGAGGGCCTTGGCAATGATGATGATGATGATGATGATGATGATGAAGGTGATGGTAGTTGTCAACAGTAGCTAACGTGTGTTGATCTTTTATCCCGTGCTAGGTACTGTTCCACGCCCAAAAATGTTAACCCATTTAATCATCTCAACAACCCTACGGGATAGTTGCTATGATTATCTGCATTTTGCAGATGAGGAAACAGACAGGGAGAGCTTGAGCCTTCTGCCCGAGGTCACACAAACAGTAAGGGGGGAGGCAGGATTTGAACTCAGTGTAGCTCCATAGCCTGCTGGTGGTTTGAAGGGCACAAGAAGTGGGCCTCAGGGAAGGCAGATGAAGGAGCCGGCCCTCCACAGGTACACCCCCTGAGGATGGGAGATACCCGTCCTCAGCTGACGGCTAGCTTAACTAAGGTGCTCTCAGCCCTCTTGAGATGCTTCCCCTGGAAGTGGGTGGAGACAAAGCCTTCCGTGGGCGCTTTCCCCTTGCACGCCTGCAGCCTTTGATGTGGCTCTCTTGCCTGTCCAGCACTTCCAAAGCCTCTGCCAAGGATGTCTTTGGGCATCAGGGAATCACAAGACACATGCAGCGAGCCATGAACAGTTTGTTGATTTGCAGACATCTGGCCTGAGGATCTCTGCTTCCCCTCTCCCCCTCGTGGGAGCAGAGCCCGGGGTAGAGGCAACAGGGACACCTGCTTGTGTGCGCGCAAGGAAACAAGCTGCTTCCCGGGGCTGCCTTCACACCTGCAGTCAGAGCAGGTCCCTGGAGAGCCCCGCGGGAGTCCGAGGAGCCTGGCTGGGCTGCAGGCCTGGGGAGGTGTCCTGTGCGCTGGGCGTTGTGCCCGCCAGTGCTCTGGTTTCACCCTCCGAGTCCCTCCCAGCGCCCCCTGAGGGGAGATGCTCTGATCCCTGGTTGCTGCTCAGCCAGCGCCGGTTCACACATGGGCGTGGAGTGACTGTCGGACAGCCCACTCTTGATGCAGCGCCCCTGTGCGTTCGTGCTGCTCCCTTTGTGTGGCATTGCAGGGAGGGGGACCAGGAGGGTGGGTGCAGCGAGCAGGCACCAGGAGAGAGGAGAAGAAACAAGAGGACGCGACAGGAAACAGACAACACTGCCATGTGTCCTTGGGGTCGTAAACTATTTGTAATAGGTAATATGCTCGCATGGAACACAATAAAAAGACACCAAAGTGCCCAGAGGGGAGAGTCTTCCTCTCGCCCCGGGGTTGCACACCCCTAGTATCTGTCCTCCCTTGGAGATAGCCTCTGGCCCTGACTTCCTGTGTCCACTCTCAGAAAGAGTCTGTAACTATTCAAGCAGTTGCTTCTTTCAGAGCCATTATTCGTTTGCAAACCCGCAGATGGGAATGAGCCACTCCCGCTCCCCTGTACCGGACTCCTTTTCCTTAACAATCTGTCTTAGCGATTGCTCCCTATTGGCAAGGAAAGTGCTTTCCCAATCTTTTATTCCATTACACGGATGTCCTATAATTTATTTAACCAATCCCCTGCTGTTACACATTTAGCTTGTTTCCAGTCTTTTGCTTTTACAAACAAGGCTGCAATGGCTCTCCTTGTGGGTGGCTTGTTTTGTTTCGACGGATCTGTGAGATAGAGTTCCAGGGAGATGCTGGGTCACAGGCTGTGCCCTCATCATGTTAGTAAATGTTGCCATGTTGCCCTTGGCCAAGGTTATATTAATTTTATCCCCCCATCAGCGATGTAGGAGAGGGGAATGAGGCGCCCTGTGAGTCTCCTTTTAGGGATAGCGACTTCAAAGCAGCCTCCTAGGTAGATATCCCAGTATTCTGAGGGCGCCTCCTTGAGGGCAGCCCACGAGGGCCCAGAGATTTCTGCCTTGTGATCACAGACACACAGCTTTCAGATTTAAAACTCTTCAACATCTATTTTCGGCCTTTCTTCATTTTTACTGGCACACGTCCACATTGCTGCAATTTCACATTGGAGCTTGTGCCAAAGGTACCTGCAGGCGCTTGATCTCTCCTACCATTTTGCACTTTAGCACCTTGTACATCTGTCCTCATTGTGTGTTTCAAGGACAAGCTACCTGCTTAGCTCTGGCCAGTGCTGGTGGGAGTTGCTGAGGTCAGAACAGGGAAGAAAAGGCACCTAGGGTTCTCAGAAGTGGCCTTTGCCCTCAGGGTTTGTTTTTTTCCCTGGCTTCCTGTATTGTCTGGCGGGAGGGGAAGGTGGGTGTTTCCGCCAGCCCCATTGTTTAGATGCTCAGAGGCTTGCAGCTGCGAGGAACAGTCATCATTTCCAGCTTTAATGCTGAAAGCAGGTCTTGGCAGGATGCGTACAGTGAGATGGGGCCAAACACCTAATACTGACACTTATGGGGGTAGGGGTGGGCGAGGCCAGGCCCCCTCTCCTGAGGCAGAGGTCACCCCTGGGAGGGACCAGGACAGGACCCTGCAGAGTGAAGTCGGTGCCTGGTGGGGGTGAGGGAGGCTTGGCAGCAGACTTGAGGAGAGGACTGCATCCTTGCGAAAGGGTTGGAGCCAGAAGATGTGGGACAGTGTTGACAGGTGGGCAAGGAGTGTGAGGGATGCCTCGTAAGACCAGGCAGCTGTCGAGCAGGAGGGGGCTGGTGGAAAGCAGCCCAGCTTGCCCGGAGTGGGAGGCTGCACAGTGCGGCGTGGCACCTGGGGTGGGGACAAGCTGCAGAGGGCCTTGGATGCGGCCTCAAAGTCCAGATGTTTTCTGGTGGGAAGGAGGGAGCTACTGACGGCATAGCAGGGAGAGGGTGGTATGCCCAGCGTGGCACTTCACTGCTGCAGGAAGGATGCTCGAGGGCCGAGGGGTGGAGGTGTTCTCTGTGGATCCCTTTGTGTTAGGATCTGTCTGTGCATCATAGCATTTTTAGCAGCACTTTTACCCTCACCGTCTCCAAACAAGGCCACAATTGTCTCCTCGTGCCCGGTCAGAACCACTGTCCTAGAGGGCAGCTTGCATGTGGTGGCCCAGCGATGCCCAGGCCCTGCCCGCATTCTCCAGGAGTCAGAATCCTGCTGAACAATTGTCTGTTCCACCTGTTTGGCGAGGGTGCAGCAGGAAATTCGGCCTCTGGTGCCGAGGTCTGGTGGATGTGCGATCGGGGGAAGTTCCGCTGGCCCAGGCCTGCAGTGACCCGCGACCTCTTTGCAGGAATGGATTTCTCTCCTGTCCTGGATGCTGAGGGTGGGTGAGAGAGGGGAATTCAGGGAGGTCTGGTTATACTTCCCTGTCTACAGTGCGAAGCACTTTCTCTCCAGAAAGGCCAGTAGCACCGAGGCTGCAGGGCTGACCCAGCAGAAGCTTCATCTCCTCCTAATTTGGCTGAAAGACCAGCTCAGATGTTCTATGATGCGGGAATGGTTACATTAAGCCACAGCCAGACCATGGACTATAACACAGCCATTGAAAATGTTTTCAGAGACTTTTATGATGGAAAATGCTCACAGAAGAATTTAAAATGGAATAGCACTAAATCTGGGGGTGGGGGAAAGGCTTAATTAGGTCTGGCTGGGTCCTGGCGCCCCTGCCTCCCACAGCAGCAATGAGAGAGGTGGGGCTGGGAAACAGGAAAAGAAGGGGAGCTCCCCTTGCTGTGCCCCAATTTAGTGTAACCATCTGGGGTTTATTTGAAGCCCCAGATAAAAATCTCTGTTGTTTTTTGCTAGTTAGTTGAAATGGATTTGGGGAGCTCCAGGAGTGCAGTTTGACAGAAAAAGAACATTTTGGGGACTATCAGCATCTTGATGATCTGTCCGCCAGCAAGAGGGACTTACTTGACCAATGTAATGTGTTTTTAAACACAGTAAAATGATCTTGTGTAGCTGCCTGTGATCATATGGGAGATGGAAGGAAACCTGCTCACTCTCAGTACCCAAGAACCTATTGCCTCCTTATTTGGACAGAGGTGAGGATGAGGAGGGAGCAAGGAGTTTAGATATTTACATTGCTACCAATTCCGATCTGGGGGCAATTAATTTTGAAGCCCTATATTTGTGTGCAAACAGATAGACCATTTGTGGGAGTGTGCAGTCCCACAGCGGGGCTGATGAGTGAAATCTAATGCCATCTGTAAATAGGTTACTAACGTGCAGAGCTTCACCAGCTATTATGCCTTGTGATCTGAGGTTTTATCTGCCAGCCACAGCTAGCAGTTCCACCGAGAAAGGGGTCAGAGGGACAGGATGGAGGAGGACAGAGGGAGCCTTTCTTTTTGCCCTCGTTTAGTCTCTTTTGGGTGTATA